TTTCCTCATTTTCCTCCTAATTTTCTGGCAATTCTTTCCTAGTCCCCTCCATTGGAGTTCCTCAGGGCTTCAGCCTAGGCCCTCTTCTCATTTTGTAGAATCTCCTACACTTTCAAGTCATCACATCCACTTCCATGACTTCAATTAATTGATCCTTTGATGACTCCCACACTCTATGCCCAGTGTAAATCTCTTAAGAACACCAGACTTATAAATCCAACTGCTACTGATGGCTTGATACAGATACCTCACTGGTCCCTCAGACTCAGTGTGCCTACAACTGAACTCATCATCCTCTCTCCAAACCTACTTCATCTCTGAAAATGGCTATTTTAGTGAATGCCACTGAAGGTAGGGCTAACCCTGGCTTGACTCTTTCTCTCCATCAGCCCCTATATATCTAGTCAGTCACCAGATTCTGTTGATTCCCCCCTCCCTTAATCTAATTCATTTACTTGTCCACATCTTTAGTCCAAGCTACCATCATCACTTACCACTGCAATAGCTCTCCCATGGTTTTCTTGGGTACACTGTGCCTTTCCAATCCACTCTGTACACTGCAGCCCAAGTGATTTTTTCAACAGCATCACTGAGATATAATTAACATACTTTACAGTTCATGCCTTTAACCAAGTAATCTTTTAAAAACACAAATCTAAGCAGGCTATTTCCTGTTTATAATCTTAGGATGGAGTTTGAATCCTTATCCTGGTTTAAAAGGCTCTGTGTGATCTGGCCTGTGCTTCCTGAAGTCTCCAACTTCATTCTTTTTTTTTTTTTTTTCAACTTCATTCTTTATGTCATTCACCTCCTCACTTTCTAAAACTTCGGCCACAGCTGTCTTCTCTGTTTCTAACCTTACCATATTCTTTCGTTTTTTTTATGTCAAACTTTCTTCATGGAATACTGTTCTCTTTCTATCTCCTTCTAACTCTTCATCAGTCTTCCAGCCTTAGCTTAAATGTCACTTCTCTGGAGAAGTTTTCCTTGATACTCTTAGCCCCTGGTATGTAAGGGGTCCCTGTCTGATGCTTTCACACATACTTTGCAAAATCCTTCACAATTGTAATGGATTGTTTAAAGTCTGACTCCCTATTGGACTCTAGGACAGGGACTGTGTCTATCTTGTTCACTTGTGCATCTTCAGTGCCTAACACTGGCACATAACAAACACTGTTAGATGGATGTCAGATGAATGGCACTACTGTCACCACTCTCCATACCCTACCCTGACCCCTGCTCCCACTGTTGTTGAAACCACCACTACCAGAGCTGCCCTGAGTCTTATTATGATTGTTCTGTGTTGAGAGAAACAGCTCCAGCATGCAGTCTTTGTTTCACCTTTATAGCTTCCTTAATTAGGAACCCAGACTAAGTGCTGAGTCTAACCGTATTGACCCTGATGTTGAGTCCTAAGGCCATCAGACTGTAGGAAATAATTTTCAACTTAAAACCAAAGGAGGAGAATTAAAAAATGGCTGACTCAATTTAAGCTCACATGTACATGTACCGATGATTTGCTATATATGGTGATGTGTGCATGGATACACACATGTAAATGTGCATGTACAAACACAGAGCCCAGCTGTTACACTTAGATTTGCATACATACACCCTCTCAGAGAGGCAACCTGATATATACTCATTCCCCACATATGTACACAGAGAATAAAATGGCATATGCTTGGCACTTTTGCATATGTACAGAGGCAAGCTGATATACTCATTACATATGTACACACACAGGCAAATGACATATGTTCCATACATATGTATACATACAGAGGCAAGCTGACATACTTAAATACACACAGTGGCAAAATGTAGTTATTTAACTCCACTGGGCTCACTTTAATTCCTCCACGTAGTTAGCTCCTTGCTTTGTCTCTTTTTCATGATTCTTAGCTCAGTGGATGCCATTCTCAAGTTCCCAGACTCTTGGCTGTAACCTCGTGTCCTTCCCTTTAACCTACCTGGCTATTTGTCACCACTTTCCTCCTCCTTGTTTGGCTGCCTCCGCCAGTCAGGAGGCTGCCCTCCTGCAGGTCTCTCCGGCAACCAGCCAGCTCATATGAACTGTTTTGACTGCTGACTTTATCTCTTTTGAGTTTTTTTTTTTAGACCATAGGCTTTTGAGTCAGATAGACCTTGATTTCAGCATCAGTCCTGCTGACCGCTCACTGTGTAACCTCAGGCAAATGACTTAACCTCTCCAAATCTCAGTTTTCTCATCTACAGAATGAGGATAATAATATCACCTTCCCCATTAGGTTTTTGGAAACATTATATTAGATAATACACATGAAGCTCTTAGCCTAGTATATAAATGCAGTTAACGGCTACTGCCACTAATAAGAACTATCACTTATTATGTGCTTACTTTGCCACGACTACTCCTAGCCAATTATTTATTGAGTACTTACAATGTACTAAGCATGAATCTAAGCATTTTGCCCATACAAACCCATTTTCTTCTTAAAACAACACTGTGAGGCAGATAGAAGTTTGATTTCCACGTTACAGATTATGCAACTGAGGCATAGAGAAGTTCAATAACTTGCCCAAGGTCATAGAGGTAGCAAGTGGCAGAGTTAAGATGCAAAACTAGATGGTTTGGTTCCAGAGCTTACACTCTTAATTACGATGCTATACCTCTTACTACCATTTATGTGTGATTGTCAGAGAAGCTATTTCTTTGGTACAATCCTTTATGAGTTAAACCCTGGGAGAAATTTTTGAATTGCAGCTGAAAATTTCCATTTGCTGAAAGATGAGGAGAAATCTTAATTCTGTATTCAGGGCAATACTGCACAACTGAACGACAAGAAGACCTGCAGGAGAAACCCAGAGATGCCGCCTCCGTCTCCCTACCCACTCATAGAGACTGTTTGGGTGAGAAGCCTTTCAAATTGACAGAATTATAGTGGTGAAGCCTGTTCTCCAGGCGGAGTGAGGCTACTTCTCTGGATTCCCATAGCACTTTTTTGTTCAGATATTTGTAACCCTTGCCTCCTTGGCTTCTGCCCATCTATGTAATTGAGGACCATTAAGGGGATGTGGGTAACAATCATAGTGCTTTCAACTGGAGTTGTAATTACAAGCAGTGTAATCACATTACTGTAATCCCTGCATGATCACAAGAAGCCCCAACTAAAGTCTCCTGACATGCTGGCAGGGGGCTCAGGACTGTTTGTGCACACTCCTTGGTGGCTGCAGTCTCAGTGGTGACAATCTTTGCTCCATTTTGTATTAGATGATGATGCTTCTCCACCAGCTCGCTCACCTTAGTGATGTGGCGGGGCTCTGGAACCAGAGTCAGGTGACTCCAACTTCCCAGTTTTGTAGTTTGAGTAGTCACTTACCCTCATAAACCTCAATTTCCTCATTTATAAAATGGAAATAATACCTACCAACAGGTGGGTGGGAAGATTAGTGACAACAAATACAAAGTGGCTGGCAGTACCTGGGATGTAGTAGGTCTTCCGTGAATTATAGTTGCTTTTGTTATGGCCTGATCCAACAATTATTCTCTCCCACTGGTATTATTGTTATGAGGTCTCCTCACTAGACTAGAAGTTTTATAAGAAGCAGGGACTTTGTTTTGTTCACTGCTATTTCTTGGCATCTAGAACAGTGCCTACATCATAGTAGATACTCAGTAAATATTTGTTGAATCAATGAATGAGGTTTAAAACAAGCTGACCTTGCTGTCTTTACTACACTGGCTGACATTCAGACCCTTTTTACTCCCAGGCATTTGCTCATGATGTTCCCTCTGCCTGGAACACTCCCTCTTCACTTGGTTAACTTTACTCACCCTTTTTGTAAACCTCTGAACTTCCCCTTCATAGTATTTATCAACATTGTTGCAATTTCACTTAAAAAATGTTTTTTTATTTATCATGAGAGACAGAAAGAGAGAGAGCAAGCAGGGCAGGGGCAGAGAGAGAGAGAGAGAGAGAATCCCAAGCCAGTTCCATCGGCTCTGTCAGCACAGAGCTTGATGCCAGGCTTGATCTCACCAAGAGCGAGATCACAACCTGAGCTGAAATTGAAAGTCGGATGCTTAACTGATTGAGTCACCCAGGTGCTCCGCAATTTCACTTTTATTTGCATAATTGTTTAATATTTGACTGTAAACTTCATTAAGACAGGGACCAGGTCTGTTGTGCTCACCATTGTATTTTCAGGAATGAGAAGTAGGTCTTTAGTACAGACTTAATGAATGAATGATTTCACTCTTTACTTAAAAAAAAAATTTTTTAATGTTTTATTTATTTTTGAGACAGAGAGAGACAGAGCATGAGCAGGGGAGGGGCAGAGAGAGAAGGAAACACAGAATCTGAAGCAGGCTCTAGGCTCTGAGCTGTCAGCACAGAGCCCGACGCGGGGCTCGAACTCACAAACCACAAGATCATGACCTGAGCCGAAGTCGGATGCTTAACCGACTGAGCCACCCAGGCACCTCTACTTTTTTTTTTTTTTTTTTTTTTAAAGGGTTGCTTTCTCTAGGAAGGGGAGTCCAATTTCTCAAGAGGGCCAGAGGTCAGCCCCAGGCTTGTGTCAGTGCTGTACCATAAATCATTTCAGTGTTTCTGGACTGAGCTCAAGTGCTGGGACTCTCTCCTACTAGGGCCAATTTGTCAGTCCCAAATTGTCTCATTACCATTTATCAGGCCTTCATTATGCAGCTAGACCCTACAGCGGGAGGTCCAGAAAAGCCCGAATTTTGGCCAGGCTGGGAGTGTGGAGTAGGATTTGCCATTTACTCCTACCCCCGCCCTCATGCTCCATTTCAATCTAGTGTTTATCACACTGAGTTGTAATTGCTAATTTTCAGATGTCCTCCCCTCCTCCTCCTGAGACAGTGAGGCAGAATTATCTCTCACCCCTCGAGGCTACTGTGGTGCCTAGCACACAGCAGATGCTCACAAAGAATTCTTGAAGGAATGCGATGTTTTCCATGAGTGAAGCCTTGTTGAGGACAAAGCCAACTCATAGGAGAGGGCACTACTTTTTGCCTTTTTTTTTTTTTTTTTAATTTGAGCCCATAAATCCTTTTTTAAGTTAATTTGGGTTGGTTTTTCTGTTACTGGGAGCTGAAAACATTCTGACAGAGCATAAATAATGACATTCAAGTACAGGATTTCTGATAGATTTTTTTTCAAAAATATTCACCCCGTATTCACTCCCTCTCACTCACCTCCACAGAGTAGAGTTCCTTACTTGTTGTCTTTGGGTTCAGCTAGGAGACTCGACTGAGCCAGTGGAATTTTAATAGACAAGTGTAAGCAGGGGTGTGAAAAAAGCTTGCACAGTTGGGCTTCCCCTGCTGCACCACTGCCAACTCCATAAGAGTTCCTCTGGGTAGCTGCTTGCTGCTCCTTCAGCTGGGACCCCCAAAAGAGTAATATTGGAGAAGATCAGAGTCAAGTTCAGCTAGACCTGCAGCTTGAAGCAGAGCCATTCAGCCAAGCCCAGTCTAGATTAATCAACCCCCAGATTTATGAGAAATGAATGTTTATTGTGGCACACTGCTAAGGTTTTATGGTTGTTTGTTTTGGAGCCGTAACTGATCAAGGTTAGATCAGGGGTTTCCAAACTGGCAGTGCATGTGAGGTTCTAGAGAACTTTAATATAAATAAGGGATACTTGAATACCCCCACCTCCCCACCCCCTGACTCCCAGCATGTCTGGAGTGGTGTTCAGAAATCTACTTTCTTTTAAAACTCTCTGGGTGGTTTTCATGTAGTGAGTCCCATACTCTTTTGTTACCTGACATTTTGGGGTCACCAATACTAAAGCACGTGACGGTTGTATTAGATGACCACTAAGATATTTTTTTCCTGAGATTGGATAATTAAGGTCAGAGAAATCCTATCTCTGAAGTAGAGTCCTTTTCAATTTGACAACTTTTGAGAAATCTATGCTTAATTTTTCCTACCTAATTTGGAGGAAGGTGCAGATGTAAATTAATTTGTGATTTATGGCCACAGTGTTTTTGCTTTTTATTTAAGGGTTGTCTCCTCTTAGTTTTTATGCCTGAGCTATGGTTAGCAGTCAAATGAAAATTAAAGGCAGAATACAGGGGGTGAAAGAGCCAAGACAGAGGGCAAAAAAGAAGCATAGAAGAGGTCAAGATTAGCAGAGAAGCCATTGAGGGAATGGTCTGAGAAGGAGCCTTTAGCTAGCTGTGGCTTAGCAGTCAGGAACCTGGGATCATACCTGAACTGGAAGCCAGAAGCTGAATTTTCATTGTAACAATTGCTATGCCACTGCTAACAGTTCAGAGGTTTGAGGCAAGTCTTAACAAAATGTTAACAATATGAGTTTATATAAAAAGTATGTTGAAAATACAATTTGAAAGAAAAGAGAGTTTTAAATTATAACAAAAATTTTCATTGAAAAAAAATTCAGACAAAACAGAAAAATATAAAAGACAAGGGCCACTCATAAGCCCAATAGTCACAGTTAATATATAGCTGTATATTCTTCTTTCTTATGGATATGCGCACACACACGTATATTTTAGAAATACAGGATTTTATTATACTCATCAGTAGCCTGCTGTTTTCCATGTCAGTAAACTATGATGTCAGTTAATCATCATAGTTAAAACTGCAAAATACTCCTGTGTACAAAGAGGCAGGATACTTTGTTTTCCAGATGGACATTTAGATTATATTTACTATTATAAAAAAGCTCTGATGAACATCCATATGCACATTTTTGGGTGCTTGTACAATTATTTCTTTAAAAAAAATGTTTATTTTGAGAGAGAGAGAACATGTGTGTGCGAGTGGGGGAGGGGCAGAGGGAGAGGAGAGAGAGAATTCCAAGCAGGGTTCACACTGTCAGTGCAGAGCCCCACTCGGGCTTGATGTCATGAACCATGAGATCATGACCTGAGTGGAAATCAAGAGTAGTGGGGTGCTTAACCTACTGAGCCACCCAGGTGCCCCATGTACAATTATTTCTTTTGGATAAATTCCAATACACAGAATTCCTAGGTTTAAAGGGTACACATATTTTAAAGGTTTTTGATATATATAGTCTAATTGTCCTCCCCAGATGTATAAATTAATAGTGCTAGGTTTTGTCAATTCTTTTAACTATTGTTAATCATCTTCAGGAAAAAAATCTTGTGGTTTTAATCTGCCTTTCATTACTAGTGGGTTTAAATATCTTTTCATATATTTACTGTATTTTATGTGAATAAGACAAGTCAGCTCCTCTTCTCATTTTTCTGTTGTGTCAACTGTTTCTTCTTGATTTATGTTCTTTCTATTAAGCACATTGTCTCCTATTCACATTGAAAACATTTCCCCTGATGTGTTTTTGCTTGTGGTGGCTTGTCCCACACGCTAAAAATTTTGAGTCATATTTATCAGTTTTTCAGTGAGACTAAGAAATTTCTTCTTAGGGGAGAAGCAGCATAGTCTATGAAAAAAGTCAGAGACCTTCGAACAATTCACTCCATAATCTTACTACCTGAGGCTAAATCTCATCTATCATGATGTGATAGGGAGAGCACTGGATTGGGAGTCAGATCACTTTACCTCTCTGGGTCCCAACTTCCTCATCTGTGGAATGGGGATGAGAATGAAAACTCCCTTGTAGGGCTGTAAAAAAGAATTGGAGAGAATGCTCTGCTCGTAAAGGGCTTCGTCCAGGTCTTGAATATGGCAAATCTGCTCTCTACGTTGGCTATTATGAGTGGGAGAGGGCAAAACAGATTTTTAAATTCAGTTGGTGTCTGTGGGAAAGGGTGGGTGGGGGTGAGGAGCCTAGAAATTTAGCCCATCTCTAGGAACTGCAGAGTTGGGGGTCGGAACTTGGGTTCCAATTCGCGTCCTGGCCATTTCTTGGTTTGTGACCTTGGACAAGTCACCTTCACCTCCCTGTGGCTCAGTTGCTTCACCTAGAAAATAGATGTATAATAGACCACCTGCCCTTCTTTCCCAGCCTGGCTGCTGAGCGAAGGAAATGCTTCAAAACCACTTGCAAAGGGCGGCAAAAATGTCTGTCAGGGTAATGCCTACGGAGCATCCCCGCGCCAGCCAGCTCCCCGCGGCCGGGCGGAGGAGTGCCTACAACCCCCGCCCTCGGCGCTCCCGCCCCGCCGCAGGAACAATAGCTCCCCCGGAGGCGGCGCCGGCCGCGGGCGGGGGCGGAGCTGCCGACGCGAGCGCTGGGGGTGTGCGCGGGGCGGGGTCGCAGCCACCCCTCCCGCCCGCGGCTCTGTCACGCGCCCCTCACCGGGCGGGCCGGGGTCTTTGTGACGCGGTGGCGACGGCCGCGGACACAAAGGGAAGGCGAGCGGCGAGTGAGGGGCTGGGTCTGCCCCCGCCCCGCGACCCCCGCCCGCCGCGCGCGCGCCCGTTCACGCCCCCAGCCTCGGTCTCCCCAACGCGGGCTCGCACCCTCGCGCGCACCCTCGCGCGCCCGCGACCCTCGCACGCGCCCGGACCCTCTGACTCCGTCCCGAGCGCGGCGGGCCGGGGCCTGGCGGGCGCTGCGGGTGGGACCGGGATGCTGAGGGGCTGCTCCCAGGCGCAGCGGCGCGGCTGCTAGGAGGCGCCGAGGCAGCGGCGGGGCTCCCGGTGCGCGGCTGGATGCCCCGGGCCTGCGGCTCCCTGCGCTTCCCGCCGTCCAGGGGCGCCAGTCATGGGCGCCGCGGCCGCTGAGGCGCCGCTCCGGCTGCCTGCCGCTCCCCCGCTCGCCTTCTGCTGCTACACGTCGGTGCTTCTGCTCTTCGCCTTCTCTCTGCCCGGGAGCCGCGCGTCCAACCAGCCCCCGGGTGGCGGCAGCGGCGGCGGCGGGGACTGTCCCGGCGGCAAAGGCAAGAGCATCAACTGCTCAGGTAGGAGCGGCCGGAGCCCGCCTCTGCGGCCCCTCCCTCCCTCCCTCCCTCGCCGCCGCTGCTGCCCTCCCCGTCCCGGCGGCCGCGCTGGGAAAGGCCCGGGCCCGGGCTTCCCGGAGAGTGTGGCCGGAGGGTGAGCGAGGGCGGAGGGCAGGGCGCGAGCGTGAGGCGCGGGCTCGGGGCCCGGCGTTGGGCATGGGGAGTGGCCGTGAGTGCGACCATGTGTGTCGAGTGTCTGGGAGAGAGCGGCCCGGCCCGGCGTGCTCTGAGGTGGTGGGGACGGGACCCGGCGAGGCGGGGGAAGCCGGCCGGGTTCCTGGTGTGACTGTAGGTGTGCACGCGGGAGCGCGTGTCTGTGTTGTGAAGGCACAGGGGAGGCAACGAGCGTGTGTGTGTGTGTGTGTGTGTGTGTGTGAGAGAGAGAGAGAGACAGAGACAGAGACAGAGACAGAGACGGTGAAGGACTGGGGGTGCCGAGCCTGAGGGCCAGGGGAGTGACCATGTGCTTTGGAGGTTCTTAGGACACTGGGGAGTGGTCGTGTGGGTAAAGGTAACGGGTGTCCCAGAGGACGTGGTTTGTAGAAGTGACTGTGTGTGTGTGTGTGTGTGTGCGCGCGCGCGCGCGTCTGCGCGCGCGCGTGTCTGTCCTTTGGGTTTAGAGGTGGGCTCTGGGGGCCAGGAGTGACGGCGGGTCTGTGGATGTGAGCAGGGAAAAGTCCTGGGGCCCAGGAAGTGACCCTATGTTTTTATGCGTCTTGCGTGGGGCTCAGGGGTATACCCTGGGGTATGCATTGAGGAGAAAGGATGGGAGTCCCGGATTGAACCCCGTTAGTATCCTTCCAGAGGGAGGGAGCTAGGGAGTCATCCTGTGCAGGGTTTGGGTATTGAAAGAGGTAATTAGATCTCAGGAAGTGCCTCTGTGTGACCCTGGGTTTTTAAGGTGGTGTGGAAAGAGGGAACCGGCTCGGAGAGTATGGTGCGAGTGTTTGTGTTCTGCTGGAGGGCCTGGAGATTGGCAGCTACAGGAGCAAGGGAGTGACCTCTCCCCTTCTCCAAGGCCGCCTGTCCCGACCCCACCCCCCCCCCCCCCCCCCAGCTCTTGGAAACAAAGAGCTTGCTGGGCCTCTAATGGATAAGAATGGGGAGGAGGTATCTGAGCAGTAAAGTTCCTTCTTCCTTTCAAAAGGGGTCCCAGAGGAGCCCTGGGGCAAGGAGAAGCTTCCAGGTCTCATTTAGGAGTGGGTGGATCTTCCTGGAGCTGGGCTAGCAGATGGTAGTGGTCCTCAGCCATGCCTTTCTAACTTACCCTTTTATCAATTCTCAATTCTCCACTTGTCTTCTTTAAACCACGGGGGCGGAAGAGGAGGCGTGGTGGGGGTGGGGAAGGGGGAGGAGGGGAAAGGAGGAAGGACTCCAGGCCACCTGGGATCTTCTGGTCTGTCTGCCTGACAACCTTTGTACCTTTGGGCAATGGAAGGGGCATTGTTTCTGGGGGAGTGAGGAGGGAGTAAGAGGGCCTCAGCACAGATGCTGCCCTCCATGAAGAAAACCTTTGGCTTGCTGTTTAGATTTCAGGGTCTAATATCTTTCAGTAATTTTCATAATGGTGTGTTTTATGTTGGGGATGGGATTTTGAGCACAGTAAACAATGGCATGTCCGTTAAAAGCCTTTTCATCGTGTAATAACTTTAACTTTATTCTTCTAATGTTAAGTGGGATATGGGATAATGTTTAATAAATAATCACGCATTCATGGTTAAGAATAAAAACCATTTGTATATTAGAGTGCCTTTTTGTAGTAAATATTTGTTATCAAACTTGTAAGTGATCACACCATGTCAAAATATTTCACTGGCTAATGTGCAGTGATTATTTGTTCTTGCTAAGCTAATTTGTCCTTAGCAAAATAGTGTGTTGACGGATGTTTTTGTGTATGTATGTTTTCTAACTCTTTAGTGCAAAGTACAACTTTTAAGAAAGGAAGCAGAGGGCTGAAAACCCACATGGTGTAGGAAAAGGAGACAGATTTGGAGATCCTGACCCTTGCTAAGCAGCTGTGCTATGTGGAGCCAAGTTACTTAATTTTTAAAAATTTCCTCTTCTATTAAAAGACAGACTTGGATTTAATATCTAGCCTTCTTTCAAGGATTTATTGATATGTCAATAAATTAGGCTTATCAAATGAAATGTTTTCTAATGCTAAGATGCATTTGAATGACTCTGGGTCTAAAGCTAGAGTTTTAACTAAGTGATATTTGTAGATTCTTGTTATAACTATTTCTAGGATGAAAATCTGGGAGTGATTCATATGGAAAAAGATAATTTTTTAAAGGAGTATAGAAATCCAGTGTGGTTTTCTGCATCTATTAATGAATGAATGCATCTTGAGATTTTACATAGTTTTTTTTCCTAGTTGCTTTTGTTACCCAGGTATTTCCCCACATAAACCGAAGTTTGGTCCTTCATAGATTTGAGTTTCAAAATCTAAATGCTGGTCTTGACTCCCTGTTAATTTTCATTTTGAATTTTGGATCATTTCAGCCTACTCTGACCTTTTGGAGCCTGATTCTGTCAGGTTGTTTGTCTTTTGGGTCACTCAGCATCGTGGCCCTTGCACGTCTGAAGACCAGGTCTGTGCTTTATTAAATTAATAGAAGATGTCTAGATCATGGGAAAAGATACCACTCTGCGATTTTTTACTCCAGACTTCCTTTCAAATGGGTCGATGTTGATACATTAATCAACCAGATGTTCAATCGGCTATGCACGCTCCTGGTAGGGTTGAACAGATTTTTGAACTTCTGCTGTTCAACATTTTCTCATTTTGTTCACTAGCCTATTATTTAAAGATTCTGTCAGTTCATCTTGTTAGAATCAGTTATGTATATGTATCATCCTCTGTTTTTCCCATTTTAGTGATCCTATCAAAAAGCAAATGTTGTATAGCCTGCCTTAATAAAGAGCCCATAGTGGCTTTTTACTTTTTATTGTGTTCAAAAACTTACCTACACATTCTAGACTTTTTCAGGGGATACATGGCAAGTTTACCCACTGATGTTTTCCTGGATCGGCATTTCTCTTTTTTTGAAAACTGAGAGTTTTCTTCGTTTCTGGTCTTCTGGCATCTTGTCATCTAAAAGTTTTTCAGTGTCATAGAGTGTAATTTGTTTATATCAGGATGCAAATTCTTTTGAACTAGCTCCATATTCTGTTACTGTCCTTTCTTCATTGCACTTACCTGAGATGTTAGCTTCCTTTTATCAGAGTTCTGCCCTTCCCAGTTTGAAGATCATGGTCCTTGATGAAGATTACCAAAGCAAAGAAGAAACTGAATGGGTCTGTATTTGTCCTTGTCATCTCTTGACTATTACAACATCTTCCCAAAGCAGTGGGCCTTTTATTTCTTCTTGTTCTAAACACACCTTTTTTTATTGTTCTCATGCCTCGAGTCTTCAATCATTCTGGACTTTATAATTGTTGCTTTGGTCTTCTATTTTTTTATTTGTACTTATTCTTTGAAAATTTAACTTAATCAGAAATTTCCCCGTTCATCCAAAGAGAAGAAAGTTGGGAAATACATGATTTATGTGAAGAAAGATGAATTTTGAACTTGAGAGACCAGGTGACCTTAGACATGGCATTCTTTTCTTATTTGCAACATGAAGATAATGATGGTTCTTTTTGACTCTAGGGTGTTTGAGAAGAACAGATGAGGCTAAATATGAGCATTGTTGTCTTAAGGAACGTGGTTAAAGGAGTGGAAAAACATACTGAGAGACCAATAAGTGGCATTTGGTGATAGATATAAGGTAGAGAATTTGGATTGGATTTAAAAAATGTCACAGAAGTTAGAAGTGGGTCCTCTGGATTGTGATATGGTGGTAAGGATGGTATGAATGGATGGTGTAAACTTCATATTAAGAGACATGCCTTGTTAGTGGCAATTCAGGATTTGGGGG